GGCGGCGCCACGCTCGCTGCCGACCTGGAAGAACTGGATGCCGACCTGGTGGGGCGGGGCCTCGAAGGCGTCGAGCTTCTTGGCGATCTTGATGATGATGGACTCGGGGTCGTCGCCGGGGATGCCGTCCGTGATGACAATCATGTTGACGGGCTTGACGCCCGAGGCGTCGGGGTCGCCCGAGGCGGCGACGCCGCGCTCGTAGGCGCGCAGGTACGGCCGCATGATGTGGTCGATGCGGGTGCCCGTCGGGGTGCCGCCGCCGGGGCGGACGCGGGCGAAGAGGGCGTCGACCTGCGCGGCGTTCGTGATGTTGCACCAGCCGCCTTCGGGGGAGGCGGGGTTGCGCGCGTTGAGGAAGTAGAGGTCTATGCCGTTGGAGTCGTGCTGGGTGCAGATGGGCGTGATGGCGCGGAGCAGGTCCTTGACTTCGCGCCACGACTGGCCGGCCATGGAGCCCGAGTCGTCGATGACGAAGACGGTGTCAAAGGTCGCGAGGAAGGCGTAGGGGTCGTCGGGCGTCGAGATGGACGCAGCCGAGAGGTAGGAGGCCGACGAGGGGGAGGGGGAGGGCCCGCGGCGCGCGGTGGGGGGCTCGATGTGGATGGCCGGGCCGCCGGTGCTCACCTCGGAGTAGGGCGGGGGCGGCGCATTGGGAAAGCCGGCGGCCGGGGCCGGGAGTGGTTGGGGGGCGGCGGCCTGGAAGAAGGGATTCGTGGGGGAGCTGAGGGAGTCGCTGTGCTTGCTCTTGGTCGACTTGTTGCTCTTTGTCGATTTGTTGCTACCTCTTCGCGAGAGCGCGCCTTTGACCGTGTCGAAGAAGCTGGTGCGACTTGGGCTTGCCATGATGGCTGTGGTGGTGGGTGTGGTGGTGGAAGTGGTGGTTGTGGTGGGTGTGGTGGTGGAAGTGGTTTGGTGTGTGGTCGGGGTGGGAGGGTTCTCGTGGAAAGGACCTCTGTTGTTGCAGTGGAAAGCCTGTGGGCTTGTCGGCCGAGCTGGAAAGGGTATTGAATTTTCAATGTTTTGGGCAAACGGATGTGTGACGGCATCTTATATCAGATTGTCGTCTCCATCCGGGTGCGAAAAGTTACACTTCAAGGGGCAATTGCTACCAACGCCGCCACTCCTCGGCACAGAACCAATCAGCAAATTCCTCCTTTTCCATCTCAGCCTTGAAGTGCGCCTCGTACTTGGAGGGCTCGAGGGTAGACGCGGTAATGAGGGTTAAAAAGACCAGCGTGACGCCGAAAGGGCGCACAAATGGCTAAGCATAAGTAGTGGGGTGTCGGTACAAGGTTGAAAGAGCACTGCCCCCTTGCCTGTTAGTGCTGGGGTGCATCCCGCACCGGAACACTAACTTCATCACTGCTCACTGGACCGAGGCGCAGCAATGCCTGGCAGAGTGCCTTGCCTCTCCGGGGCAATAAACCCCAACCCACGCCAGGGGAACCCTTCGAAAGAAGGATGCACTCATCTCGGAATGGTTGCCGCCGGATTCAATGCACAGATTTGGTTTCAACCTTTGGGTTTACCATGTGGCGCCGACCTGGCTTTATTCGTCCCTTGCATGGCACCAAGAGCCAATGGTACGGACATCGCCTGTTGGGCATCCTTCGTGTCTCCCCAAAAGAGCCACATACGGGGTTCTTGTTTGAGCAAGTCATGACCGACTTAGGGGCGAGGTTGCGAGCAACATCGTGACCATGTCGAGGCGAAAATCGTAGGCTGCGCCGTCCCAAGGTATTTCCTCTTGAATAGGTCTCCTCATCTGATGCTAAACGAAGTGGCTGGTGTGTCGTCTGCACATAGTCTCGTTCTCCTGCTGACCGACAAGATGCTGCTCACCTGGATTCACACAAGGGCCTTGCCTTTGGGCAGAGTTGGTCTGATGATGATTTGGGGAGGGATGTTTGGGGAGAGACGACGTTGAACAGTGGACAGGGCCCCCTGGATGCTTGGCAGGGGAGCATCTCCCACCCCGCCATTCCTCTTGGGGATCGCGATGTCTTATCGATTGCAGCGGGGTCTCGTCCCCAGCAACGACTCCGTCACGGACCCGACGTCCGCTCTTTTCATCATCTTGGCTGGAGTTTACAGGTCCGTCAGCTCAAGGGAGAGAGGCCCCAATTGTTGAGTTCTGATAGTTTTTGCCCCCTCGTCCTGTATACATCGTGTAGACACCTAGTACGCCCATATTTTCCCAAAAAGAACCCCTCGTCACGAACAAACAAAGGACGACAGTACCTAAGGAGGGGCAGGTGGCCAACAAACCTGCTCAAGTCCTCAGTTCTGGGAATTGCCAATCACACACCTGGCCCTTCCATCGTGGCCGTCAGTGAAAGCACTGTGCCCATAGAAGTCCACACGAGATCTCCCTGCCCCTCTTGCCCCCTCCTCCCTCCTCCGTCAGACGAGACCGATTGGAGCGTGCCTTTTCTAGCTGCTGCTGCATCGCATGCACAAGACCCAAAACAAGCATCGGGTCTCCATCCAAACCAAGTATTTTTGCCCTTTTCTCAACGAGCACCTCTGCGGTGAGCCGTGAAACGAAAATATTGAGCCCTTCCCTTCCGACACTGTTTGCAAAATTTCCTGTTGGGAGCGCTGTCTTATTTCTACATTGCTTGGCTCGCGCAAGACTGTCTCTTCTCATTGCTTCCCTACTTGGGCTGGAGTCTGAAATCGGTCAATCATGGCGTCCAGCATCTTGGGCTTGGGCTTCGAGTCCCGCCGCTTCAGCATCAACCGAAACACGGGCGTCCCCAGGCCGGCTAGGCGCTTTTCCATCGGAGAGCCTGGTGTGAATGGTATATACCGAAGCTAAAAAGAAATAAAAAGACACCCAAGACTGACCGCTCCCTCAAGAGGCATCCAGCAAGGTTCATCGGCAGTTTCGAGCTGCCCACGAGGGGTACTCCAGTCTCTGATTCTCCTCCGTGAACCATTGCTGACCTATCTCCAGACATCTCCCCCACGCAGGCCTTGACGCCACCCGAGCATCGACGGGCGTGGTTTGGTGCACTGAGCAGGCCGGAGAGCATGGCTTCTTCGAGGAGCCCGAAAAGTGGGCCAACCTGGGACGTAGGTTATCCCATCGACACCCCTTGCCACACCCATCACTGACATGATTTGCAGAGGGTGCTCCCGAGGCATGATTCCCAGGACCTGGCCAACGCGAGCACTGGCTGACTGACTGTGCCATCAGGTAGAGGATGATATCGAGGGCTGCTTTCCCCGACCCAAGACCATCGACATCAGCAACGCCGGCCGTGAGTACGGCCCAACCGCTGGTATCAAGCCTCTCCGGGTGGCTGTGGCCCGTCTCTACAACGAGATGCACCGCAAGGGCAAGCCTAGCCAGTACACCTGGGAGAATGTTGCTATTGTAGGTTATAACACCATCACCGCACCCCAGACATCTGGAAAGAGACTGACTAGCAAGGTTCCCGGCGGCCGGGCCGGCCTGATCCGCATTGCTGCTGTGCTCAACAACGCCTATGTCGGGTTCTTCATCCCCGACTACACCGGCATGTCTTTTATATTGAACAAGTGAGCTAGACTAACCCTGGACAGCCTATAACGAGATGCTTTCCCTCTTCAAAAACGTTTGTCGAGCCCCACGACCTTTGAAGTCTCCGCTGACCGGCTTGTAGTTCGCTGCCATCCCCGTCCCCTTGTCCGAAAAAGACGGCTACCACATCAACCCCGAGAAGATTGCCGAGGAAATCGCCCGCGGCACCAGCGTCATCCTGACCTCCAACCCCCGGAACCCAACCGGCCGTGTTGTCGCCAACCCCGAGCTCGCCGAGATCCAGGACATCTGCCGGGAGCGAGCCACCCTCGTCGTGGACGAGTTCTACTCGGGCTACAACTACACCAGCGACTGCGATGGTTCCACCATCAGCGCCGCCGTACGTGACACAGCTCCCCGTCAGCACCAAGGACAAGCTAACCCAGCACGCAGGAAAACGTCATGGACGTCGACGAAGACGACGTCCTCATCATCGACGGCCTGACCAAACGCTTCCGCCTCCCCGGCTGGCGCGTCGCATGGATCATCGGCCCCAAGGAGTTCATCAAGGCGTTCGTCCCCTTGCCCCATCCCACCCCCAGCTCCACACTAACCCTCCCCCAGCATCGGCTCCTGCGGCTCCTACCTCGACGGCGGCACCAATGTCCCCTTCCAAGAAGCCGCCATCCCCATGCTCGAGCCCGCGCTCGTCCAAAAGGAAATGATCGCCCTGCAGCACCACTTCCGCGACAAGCGCGACTACGTCGTCCAACGACTACGCGACATGGGCTTCGCCATCAAGCTGGTGCCCGACTCGACCTTTTACCTTTGGCTCGACCTCGAGGGCCTGCCGGGCCCCATCTCGGACGGCCTCAACTTTTTTCAGGCGTGCCTGGAGGAAAAGGTGATTGTTGTGCCGGGCATCTTCTTCGACCTCAACCCGGCGCGGCGCCGGGACCTGTTTGACAGTCCGTGCCATCACTTTGTGCGGTTCTCGTACGGGCCGAGGATGGAGACGCTCAAGATGGGGTGCGATGGGATTGAGCGGGTGGTGAAGAAGTTTAGGGCGCTGGAGAAGAGGGGGCAGGGTGGGGGGGCGTAGTTGGGGGGGAGGGGGGGAGATGGCGCTGAGCGGTATATTTGTGGCGGAATGGAATGAGAAAGAATACTAAAAGCTTTGCCTTGTCTCTCTTGCCGTGGGTGTCCAACGTGAGGTAGCGACTCAGCATCCTCCTCCTAGAGCGAGCGACATCGTGCGAACAACCTTGCGAATCGCCTCGTTTTCCTCTTTGACCACGCTGCACTACCCGCACCCCCCATTCTCCCCTCAAGCCCTCTACTCAGAAAAAGAAAAGCAAACACAAACCCCCGCACTCCTTCCATCCCAGCCTCGCACAACTGACCGTCGATTTCAACATTCCGTTCGGCGATCAGAATGCCAGCGCAAAATGGGCGCAGTTTCCAGTAGTGCCCTTCATCAAATCATCCAGCGGGTTTAGCTCAGTTGGGAGAGCGTCAGACTGAAGTAGCACTTCATTCCGCAGCCGCCTCAGCGGCCTGCAATCTGAAGGTCATGTGTTCGATCCACATAAACCGCAATCTTTTTGTCTCCTAGCACAACTTCCTCTACCCCTTCATTTTGGGTTGGGCTGGAAATCAAGGGTGGTGGTGGGTTTTTTTTTTGAGGGGGGAGGGGGGTAGGTAGGTATGAGGTGGTTGGCAGAGCTGGATCTGTCAAGGCGTGTTGTGGACGTTGGCGAACAACGAACCTTAACGAGCCTTTCTCGGGCTTCAGCAGAAGGGGGAACAGAAGGGGGGAGGTCGCATCGAGGGAAGCTTTGACGTTTGGGAAGGAAGAGCAAAAGACACTGAGAAGCACCAAGTTCTGGAGTTGGGCATTTGACATGGAAATACTTCCGTGGGTAATGCGGGAAGAGATGGTCCTCTCCCGTTCATGATCCTTTGGTGGTACTTATTCTTGACATTTTATGCCCGTGGATGTCCAGCCTGATTCACGTGAACAACACCAGGAAGACGACGATGAGGGCTCCGTAATAAAGTTGAATGCGAGACCCAAAGGCGAAAGGAAATTCCAGAGGCGTGGCTCTCGTCCTTGGTCTCGCGGATTCTCAACTCTGCAAAGCTCGGCCATTCCGCATCTAAAACGATAGAGTTTGTTGATCATATGTTGACCAAGGGGTCCAGATCTTCCACGTCTATGTCCCATAAAAGAGCCCTGTACAGGATCGGCAGATGACTGGAAAATACAGCGCGCTCTCATTTTTATACCTTTCGAAAACCCAAGAAAAAAACATACTAATACACCCCCAACAAGCGTCATTAACTCCCTGCTGCCCCGTTCCGGCTCTCGTCGTGCGATCCCTCCTAAGAAACCTCCTCCACCATCTTCCCCCTCGCCAGACCGCCTCCACCCAAAAACGCCCGTCCCACCGGGCCAATAACCATGTCGTCCGGCACACCAATGCGGTTTCCGTCCTTGCTGCTGACCCATCGAACAAACAGGGGGTCGGCGCGGTTCGACTCTCCGTCGGGCGTGTCGTAGCCGGCGAGGGCGTGGCGGCGGTTGGTCTTGGGCGCCTGCTTCTTGAGGAGCTTGTTGATGGTTTCCATCTGGGAGGCGGGGCAGAGTTAGTATCTGGAGCTGATACCTGTGCGGAATGGGTACATGCCTTGACTTCCTCGTTGCGCTTCTCGCTCAGGTTGCGGCGGCGACGGGCCATCTCGAGGCGTCTCATGGAGAGCTCCTCGGCGGTAAAGACCTTTTTGGCTTGGACCTCTGTAGATCCAGTTAGCATCCATCCCTCCTGGCCTGACGAGGGGGCATGACGTACCATCTGACAACTTGAGATACTCGTGAGAAGCATCACCAAGTCTCGCCCTCTGCCGCGCCGTCAACTTGGAGAGGTCCGGCGTCCCAGCGCGGCTTCCATCTTCGCTGTCGAGCTCCTCCTCCTCATCGCCCTCGGCATCCTCATCCGCCACCTCGATCTCATCCCCCTCAGCATCCACATCTTCAATCTCCTCGTCATCTCCCTCGGCATCCTCATCGCCCAGCCCCATATCCACGTCCTCGGGCTCGCTCTCCAGCTCGCTGAGCTCATCATCGTCGTCGTCGTCGTCCAGGAGCCTCGGCGCCGCGTGCTTAACCGGAACCGCAACCCCCCTCCCGCTCGCCCTAGGCGGCGACGTCTTGACCTTGGCCACCGGCGCGCTCTTGGACGGCTTGGAGATGGTAATCGAAGGCGGCGGCGGCAACGGAATCTCCATCTCGATATCCCCCTCGGCATCCTCGTCCTCGCCCTCGGCGTCAATATCCATGTCCTCCACATCCCCCTCGGCATCCTCATCCTCGTCCCCCTCGTCATCATCGTCGTCGTCGTCGTCCCCCACCAGCCCAGCTCGCGCCCCCACCTCAATTTCATCCTCTCCTTCTTCCTCTTCCTCCTCGTCCTCCTCGTCCTCGTCCTCGTCACTATCGCTCTCGACGACGTAACTCTTGACGTTCCCCCTCCGGCGCGTGCCGCCGCCGCCGCCGCCGCCGCTGGCCGCGCCACGCGGCCTCTCGCTGCTTGTGGCCTGGCGCAGCTTGTTGGACGGGACCTTGACCGTCACCTGCATGTGCTGGGCCGAGTCGGCCTGGCTGCTCCCCGGCGACGAGGGCGGGCCCCGGGCGGCCGAGGCGCCGCCCGAGCGGCGCGAGCGGGACGACATGGTGCGCTCGTGGTCTCTGTCGGCCATGTCAGTGATTGCGGCCGTGGCGCGCTGGGCCGCGGAGCGGCGGGGGCGTGACGACATGGCGGGTTGGTGAGGGGAGTGAGGGTGTCAAGGGAGAGGGGGTGCCGTCTTGGAGGGGTATGGGTTCAAACGGTCTTGGGGTCGGCGGCGTGTGGGGTGGTGCAGTGAATGGGTGATGGCGTTGTCTCGGCTCGCACTTGGAGGAGGAGGCGGCGCGGGGGAGGGACGGGAAGGCTTGGTTGAAAAGATGGTGGAAATAATTGGGGATGCAGAGGCAGTGGTCCCTTCTAAAGGGATGGATGGATGGTTGGATGCGTCCTGTGGGTGAGATGGCTTGATCCAAGCAGGCGCGCAACCATTCATCCAACGGGCATCCACGCTTGAGGCTGATCTGTCTGATCTCTGGTCCGTCCCCCAGTCCAATAACGGAGAGATGTTGTGAGGGCAAACACACACAAACCACCTTGGCCTCCAACCAGCAGCCGCTTGGCCCTCTTTTTATCGACGGCAGCCAACGATTGCTCAATGCTGGCGGCCGAGGTTTCACAAAGCATCTCGGGCTCGCCTCGCCGCCCTCGCCTGGGCCCAAGCCAAGCGAAGCTCTTGAAGTCGATGGCCGCCGCATGGGTGGCCTCGATTTGTTCTTCTTGTTGCATTGGTGTCGCGATGGTGCTGGTCGGGCTGCATCCATCGCATTCACCTCACCGCCGCCCACTGCCATCGGCCTCCCTGCCCTGCACATAACCCCCCGACATGGCATGAATTGAGAGGGACACATTTCTGACGGTAAGAATAGCGAGCCCACTTACAGGTGTTTGTTTTCGAGGCGAGGCACGTGGTCCGGCTGGCACAACCAGACCTCTCACTACCGTCTCCTGTCGTGACACGCCCGACGTTCTTCTGCCGTTCAACGGTTCAACTACACGGCCTTGGCAGTCCTCACTGCTCCTGGTGTGGTTCGTCGGGTAGACGCGTAGTGTGCTAAATGGTGATGCCAGATGGCAGGTCGCGTCGATGGGATGAGATGCGAGGTCGGTGAGGATTGGACGTCAAGTTCCAGAATCGCCTCCGTGATGTTGGAAGGCCGTCGACCAGGGTTTTCTCCTCGGTATTCAAGGCTCCAAAATCGGGGGAAATATCCAACTGTCGTGATGGCTTCTTCACTCGGCGATAGATATATTCGATAGTAGGATGAGTTCAGATTTCAGCAGAAAATGTCAACCTCAGCCCCGTCAAGAGGGCTGTTTCGTTTCAACATGGCCAAAACAGGATCCCCAGCTCCCGCGGTTGTCCTGACACTCCCACTGGTGAAGTGGGTCCATCTGCCCAGTGCTGCGAGCCGGGGTCTTGTCCGTGACGGAATAGGCCAGCCAGAGCGCTGCGGCGCAGGCCAGCCTCGGCTCATCACAAGCTCACGCCGCGTCCATCTCGTCTCCTCCGTCACTCTCCCAGCTTTCGCAAAACATCGCCAGCGACCCTATAAACGCAGCTTTTCAAGATACACCCTACCAGAATCATCCATATATACAACCATGGGGGACCAAAACGACGAGCCCAAGGCCGCCGCGCCCGCCTGGCAAGCGCCGCAGCCCCCTACCGCGACCGACGAGACCGAGCCACCCAAGACAGAACCCCCAACGACATTAAACCAGGCGCGCAAGTTCCTCCAAGACCCCGAGGTGCAAAAACACCCGGCAGAGCAAAAGACCGAGTTCCTCAGGACCAAAGGCGTCTCCGACGCCGACATTGAGACCATCCTCCGCGAAGCCGCCCACGAGGCGCAACCAGAGCCACCACAAACACCTGCCGTGAGTCCCTCCCTCCATCCCACGGATAACGGCTCCCAAGATCCCCGCTGACCGCCCTCCCCAACAGATCCAAGTCAGCGCATCCAACTCCGTCCTCGAGCCCCGATTGGAACCACCAAAGCCCCAGCCGGCCGAACCAAAAGAAGACCGGCCGCCCATCGTCACCTACCCCGAGTTCCTGACGAAGCCCGTGCGGCCGCCGCCGCTCATGACAGTCAATGGCTTCCTCAACACGCTCTATGGCTTCGGCGGGCTCTCGGCCCTGGTCTACGGCACGAGCAAGTTCGTGCTCGAGCCCATGGTGCAGTCGCTGACGGACGCGCGCGTCGAGCTCCACGAGACGGCCAAGACGGACCTGTCCAAGCTCATTGAGAAGCTCGAGGCCGTCGTGTCCGAGATCCCCGCCACGGCCAAGAAGCAGGTGGAGCGGGAAGACGACGACGACGACAAGAGCAGCTACGACGACCCCACGGAGCTCTTCCACCGCGACATTGGCGTGCAGACGTCGTTCCCTTCGACCCCGGCCGAGCCCGCCGCGCAGGGGCTGCCGGCGACGGAGACGGCGGGGCAGAAGCAGGCCCGGCAGCTGGCCAAGCTGGTGGCGTCGGTCAAGGAGGTGGATGACGGGATGACGGGGCAGACGGAGGCGTTTGACGAGGTTAAGACGGTGCTGGATGTGTTTCGCGAGGATGTCTACAAGCTGACGTATTCGCACCTGAACCTGGAGTCGGCCATGTACGGCAACCGCAGCGAGCCGGACGACGAGATCAAGAAGGTCAAGGAGAACATCAGGCGGGTCAAGGGCGTACTGCTGACGACGCGGAGCTTCCCCGGGTCGACGCGCTAGGGCCGTCCGTGAGCTGCGCCGGGAAGCGATACGCAGGGCCTGTGGTTCGGCTGAGCCGGACCGTCTGGAGAGAAACCTGACGTTCGACCGACTTGGGTGCTGACTGACTGAGGGAGGTAGAGGCACGAAGCGATCCGAGCTTGGAAGCGTGGGCCGTACCCGTCAGCGCTGTGGAGGCGGTTGGGGA